GACACAAAACCGCAGCAACTTCAAGCCGTTACTGTTGAGGTTGCTAGGGCCGTTCTTTCTAATCGTGCCTATCCACGATTCAGTGCCCACTCCGAACGCACATTAAAATCTTCGATTAGAATGGGGGACTCTGTAGCCCGCATTTGGTATTAAGCACACTCCACTTCCTCAAGGAAGGACTTATATTCTCCCTCGAAATTGGGCGCACAGGTCTGTAACAAGGTCAACGCATTAGCCTGTTTTAGCTGTAGTCAGGGGACTTCTACCCTTTCGCTGATACGCTTCCATTCAGTGATTCCATCAGCGAGATTGGGTTGTGCCAGAACACCAACACCGGCCTAAACTCGCGTCGTGATATCGACACCTGAGTAGAATATCTTCTACACGCAGAGGATCAGGATTCCAGAGCTTTAGCTCTTCGTTGATGGGAGTCTAACAATGTTGAGTTGCTGTTTTATGACCTCATCAAGTATATCTTGCCTTTCCCTCTGAGTTAGGATATATTCCAATTGCCAAATTTACGTTCCTACTGGCAGTGTCGTTCTCGTGGAGCCTTTCTGACGTGCTATAATGGCATCGCGCTGTCTGCCTCCTTCGTTCAGAACCTGTGGCGACTCCGTTGCTGACTGGTATCTTCGTCGTCGTTCCGTCTGTGTTTGTCAGCCATTGCTGTGCTGCTACTCCCCCGGCTGGCATATGGCGATGAGCAGATCCTAATTACCGACTTTTCGCAGCCCGCCTCAGTCTCCAAAGCCTGAGCGGGCCTTGGTAACCTGGGCGACGACCGAGCCGATATAGTTTTCGATGTTTTCGATGACAGCAATACCATGAAAGGTGAAAGTTTTAAGGGGATTTCGCCACCGTGTCCAGCCCTCCTCCTTTCTCATCCAAGGTTGGAACCGACAACGCTAGAGTTGTCGCTATCTGATAAAAATTTTTACTTTGTATCACTCCTTTAGCTTGCTTTAATGTCACTTTTCACTTCTTGAAAACGGATCGACCATCATCCAAAATGTTTGAGAACGTGTACATAGTGAATTTGCCATGCGTTATCATCCAGCGAAAACTCTTTTTCAGTTTGCGACCTCTCTGTTTCAGATAGTTTCCAAAGGTAGAGAAATTTCATTCTGTATTATTCTTCATCCACGATAACGAATTTTGCACTTTATTCGCTGATATTTAAACATGAGATCGTTGTTCCAAATTTATTTGGAGAGGTCCATTTGAAGGGATGTGCCTAAAAAATCTCCAATCATTTTTACTTTGATTTGCAACATATAAAAATATCATTTATGAGCTTTTCTTTTTTTCTTATGATACTTCCTGTGTCATAAAGGGAAAATTTTTTGTTAGCCAATGTTGCAAATTTAAATCGCAATGAAATGTATTTTTAAATTGTTTCAAGATTCCGTATCAGCTAAATTGACTACAAAAATGTGCTTAAAGTTTCTATTTAGTCATTATGAATAGCTTTATTTTCTCTGTACTTTACGAACTTTTAGTTCAATGATTGACACATCATTTCGCAACTGAAGGTCAAACAGCAGTCAAGTCTGGGATAGTTTCCTTAATTGTCAATGACTGCTGAATTAGAAGATTTGTCTCGAACAAAATGACACCTTCAGTTTACAATAGTAATAAATATAATATAATTTCCACGTAGTTCAGAACATTGTCTACATTGTTAAGTATTGACTTTGAACGCCGTTGTTTAGTGAATGCGAAGTGGACATGCTCTACGGTACAGGATATTTTTTGGATTCTAAGTACGCATCGTACGGCGAAGCGTTCCGAGAAGTTCGAAACTCATGCGAGTTGCAACAGAGCTATAATTCATACACTTGCAACAACAACGGTAAAGTCCCTATGCTTAAATACTGGCGGTCAGAAAAAAGGCCTGGTTCACATACCGTCATGACATCTGAAAACAAGCTGCGTATATATGGAGGAGAAGATGAAAGAGTCTGGAGGTATCGTTCGAATAAACTGAATGAACAGCCTCAAGTGTTTGCGCGTGAATGTCCCTCTATTTGCACCCCAGCTTTGCCTAACGCTGACAACCAAAGCAACGCCGTTCCTATCTACACCATGCCAAAATTCATATGCACAAACTCTGACTTCGCGTACAACATCGCTGATCATGAACTCTACATTTCCGATCCCAAAGGTACTGAAATCAGAAACTCTTGCCAAGATATGAAATTGAGCATCAGCAACAGATGTGAAAGCAAAGCAAGTGATCATCAGACAAGCTGGAGCAATGTTCAGGTGAGAATGCGTAATCACGAATATTAAAAATGTAAATTGTGGTTATTCATCGAAATTCGAATCAAGGGGCGAAAAGCCAAAAGAGAAAGTTTGAACTCCATCAAATCAAACAACCATAAATTTGCAATTTGGATGTATTTTGCGCAGTCTTTTCCTGATCTTCATAATCACAGTGACTTCAGCAGATATTTGTTTCATTTTTTGATGTCACGCATTTAACGTTGTCAGGATCTATTTTGGCATAGTTTATAAGTTTTCATTTTCAGTTAGAAAGTTTGCAACAACGTTAGATGATTCAGAGTTTTCATTCATTCATCTTCCATAACCTTTTCTCCTTTTGGGTTCAGCAGGCAGACGCGTCAGACAGACCTTCCAACGTTCCCTGATCCTGTGCCAGAGTCT